CGGGAAGTAACGAATGGACAAATTATTCAGTTCAATTCAGGTCAGTTCGTTGTTGGAAATGGGCATGAGTCTTTGAATTACCTATTTGCAATACCTCAGTAGGTGTAATACTGCTATCCAGAGTATTCTATTACTCTACTGCATTTTGTCTATTACTTTTTCCCTATTATTCTGCCTGATACTCCCTTTGTTCTTTCACTGCTGCCTTTCGTTTTTATTGTCGTCCACATACTATTTTATTAACCTTACTCGTTATCATTCCTACTACTATAAGTTTACTAGGCTTTTACTTTTAGTAATGTTAGGGGAAATACCTGTCGTAGCATAGTTCTACCAACAACTCTGCCCTCTAACAGTAAAATTGATACCAATAACATTTAAATAACTGGCCCTACCAACAATACTACTACTACCATAATTACTGCTGCTCCCACCTCCCCCTCCCCAAATATTTTTCCCACGGTCTTAAAAGTCCTACGGCGAGGGCGACATGCAATCACGTAGGCGGCTCTGAACCAAGTGGTCGTTCTCGCACTAAACTTAATCGGTGCCCGGAGTGCAGTCCGGTAGCAGTTTGAGTGTCAAGGCAGTCCTATTAAGGGTGAGCGCTGCTTTCTCTTTCGCGAGGGTTGAGGGGCTAGAAAAGGTGCTCTAAACAAATCCTGGGTCATGATCTCTGCCTGCTGACCGTAGCCGAAACACTACAAACCAAAATGTTTCTCGTCCCCATTCCCTTCCTCTTCACCTTCCTCTCCCACCCCTCGAGCAGGGACTACTGACGGAAAGCCAATGTGGTTTTTGCCATCACCGCGACAACACGGATATGATCTTCGCTGCTTGCTAAGTGCACGAGAACTGCCAGGAGATGCGCACCCACCCGTTCACTATTTTCGTGGATCTAACGAAAGCCTTCGACACGGTGAATCGCGCTGGACTTAGGAAATTCAGGCAAAAGTTTGGTTGTCCTGCGCACTTCACTCATATGGTACGCCAACTCCACGAAGGGATGATGGCGCGCGTCAGAGACGACGGAATGGCTTCCGAAGCCTTGGCAGCTACCAATGAAGTGAAGCAGGGCTGTGTCCTCACGCCTAACCTCTTCAGTCTCATGTTCTCTGTCATGCAGACGGACGCCTACCGGACGAGCGTCCCGGGGTTCCCCTAAAGTACAGAACGGTTGGTCACCTCCTGGATATTTGACGCATGAAGGCCCTTACGCGTGTCTCAACGACCACAGTTCATGACCTGCTGTTCACGGACGACTGCGCTCTCA